GTGGCTAATCATGTATTAATTTTTTTAAAAAATTTTATAAATTTTAAAATTATTAAAAATTTATACTATTATTAATTTTAAAATATATAAAATTAGTTAAATTATATATATAAACTGATTTAAATAATTATATTAATCAAAATAATAATAATAATAATAATAATAGTAACAACAATAACTATTCTTTGCAAGGCAATATAATATCTTGTAGATTGCCTCGTGACTTTCTTTTTATTTATTATTTAATTTCCTTCTCACAGGCTTGTTTCTTTTGCACGAGGAATATCATTTTCAAATGGGTCCACAGCTTGGCTCTTGCTTAACCGTCAATTATGCTCCCACCAAATGCCAAAAATATTTGGTTTGGGGTCTCACATGTTTGTAATTCTTTTTTCTCTTGAGGTAAATAAGAGGTGATGTTTTTGGAGGCCAGTATAGCCTTCCTCCTTGTTGTAGTGATCATTAAAATCTGACGACAACGTTATTCATATAGAAATATTTATTATGCGGACATGGTTGATTGATCTTATGTAAAGTAACGCCACGTCGTCCATCAAGTTATTAATTGTTCGAAAAACTCAGTTTGATTAAATTATTGTTATTTTTCCATAAAATTCAAGTTAAATATTTGGTTTGGGCGATGAATTGCTTTTCTAAAATGTTTGCTAAATTATTAGCAGCAGTTGTTTAAAAAAAAAAAAAAAAAAAAAAAGGAAAAAAGTAAAAGCAAAGCAAAAGCACACTCACCAGGATGTTCCCCCGAACTTTTTGGGACCCGCATGCCAACGAGCTAATTACCCTCAACTCGACAGGTTTAGAATAGAGATGACAACAAGTTGTCAATTTCCCAATTGACAATTTGTTTTGAACTCCTGGAATTCAATTTAATTCCATTTCAAGGGTTAAATCATGTGTTTGAAGTTATTTAAAACATATTTATTTAAATTCTAAATAAAATTTTGATCTTAGAAAATAGAAAAAAACAAATGAATTACTAATAAAAAATAATCTTTAAATAAATACCACTACAAATTCTCTTTCTTTTTTCCAACAAAAGCTTCGGTTTTTTTTCTTGGGAAAATTGTCTACATCGTGTTACTGTTTTGTACGGTGTTTCTAGTTTATCTGAAATGATGGTGGAAAAAACAAGACAAAAAACAAAAACATAAAAAGAGAAGCGAGATCATTAAAAAAAAATTAATATAGATATTTAAGTTAATTTACATATATTTTAATTAAATAAAATAAAAAAGAAAGTTTTTTGATTGGTGTTGATGTGTCAATATAACAAAGATATATGTAATGATATGCACTGTTTTTGGATTTTATTTAGTGGAATAGAGTGTAACAACTTTCTATTGTTATTATTATCAATAAAGAAAAACATATTTTTAGGGAAAGTATATATTTAGTATATCATCATGGATTTTTACAAATGTGTGTTTCTTTGCTAAGTGGTACTGATGTATAATAACTTTTTATAAATATATATTTTTAATGATAAATAACTTATTTAAAAGTAAGTGGAATGGTTTTATAACGTGGGGATTAAATGAGAACAGGTATGAAAATATCTTTATAACTAAAAAAATAATATAATGATGTGTTTATAATAACCACTCGTTCCTAATGTTTTCTAAATACATCATGCACGTTGATGTTTCTTGTTGTCTTTATTATATCTCACATCATGATTTATTATAAAATAATTTATGAATTTTATTTTCACAAGAGGGAATGATTTATGAATTAAGGGTAAAACAATCAAGATTGTTGATTTAATTTAATTCCATAAATATTTTAAATAGTATAATTGAATTCAATTTTATAATCTAATATTTTATTTTAAATATAAAGATTATAATAAATTATTAATTCAATTCAAATCTTATGTAAAATTAAATTCAATTTCACGTGTTATCTAAAGAAACTCTAAAGGGTGTGATGTCCCTAGTGGAAGGCATACAGGGCCTGAAATCTCCGATCTACCCTTGCACGCTATTTGGTTAAAACCCCTCCAATTCATTCATGGTGCCAAACTAATTATTTAGTTAATTGGTATCAGTAAATTTATTTAAATTCTCCCGCAGCATGACAACCTTGCTATTTCCCCTTGCGTCTATTTAAGAATTTGAGATTTTGGCTCGTTAATTTTTTTAACAGAAACTCAAAAAAAAATAATCAGAAATTCCCTCTTTTTAAAACATAATTTCTCTTCTCAAATTTGATGAAGACAGTGATGCGAGATTAGACATCTAGAGCTTTTGATAATGTAATTATAATTATTTTTTAAATAATTTTTTTATTTAAATATATATTAATAATTTACTGGCTGCTCAACTCATTCTCTGTATTCCTTATATTCTAGACTCAGTATCTATTTTTTTAAAAAATAACTGGCTGCTCAACTCATTCTCTGTATTCTTTATATTCTAGATTCAGTATCTATTTTTTTTTTTTAAATGAAGTATAATTTGAAGGGAGGTGCATAGCATCTAGATTTGGTCATGATAATGAGATAGAAGATTACAGTGATTGTGCTCTCTTTTGTAAATCAAAGCATCAATGTAAAATATAAAAATATGAAGATTACGGTAAGGGAATTCCTTATCTGTGGGCGTTGTTTGAAGTTTGTGAAATATAAAAACACGTACACATTAAGTATGAAAATCATATATATAAAGAGTCTAGAAAATTGTTCCTCGATAAAGCTGATTATTTTCTTGTTATTTTATAAATTATCGTCAAACAGTCATGTCTGCTTCAAGTGGTGTTTTTTTTCTTTTTCCTTCAAGTTCAAGCTTTTAAAGGACATGCCATGGCATGTGATTGGCTAAGAACATGATTTATCATCGGTTATGGCGATAATGGATGCAATGACGAGTTAATAAAAAAATAATATAAATGAAAGTGAAAGTTTTAAAGTGGTATAAAATCAAAGATAGAGAGAAAAATATAGATTTTGAATATAAGTTTTTCAATACAAACAGTCCTTTGTCAGATTAATTTTTTTAATGAAAATCAAAATATAATTATCAAATACTTAATGGGAGAAATAACAAGAAAAACACGAAAAAATAACCAAAAATAATATTTTTAAGCTGAATAAAATATTTTTATTATCTTTACTGGATCTAAACTTCTAATGTGAGTTTTTTTCTTTCCCATGTATATTTTTCCTCCATCTAATAATAAACATTAATAATTAGCCCCCTCCCACCCTCCCACGGTTAATGCATGGGTTGTATCGTGTTTTAATCTGAAATTTTGTTTTTGTTTATAGGAATATTTAAGATAGCATAATAACAGTTATTTTTTTTAATATTTATTATTTAAAAATATATCAAAATTTTTATTTTTTAAAAATTATTTTGATATTAATTTAAAAGGTGTCCCGAACACCCTACACTATAATCATGCCGAGTTGTGTTGTCACCATTGCTCATCGACAACATGTTGGAAACCTATCTTTCCCCTCTGAACTAGTGGGCTAACAGAGAAAAAAGGGCCCATTCCGGCATGATTGAACCTACCTCTGCTCCTAAACATAGAGATTCTTGTCACATGTCACTTTTGGTGCTGTACTTGCAATTTCTCGTAATAATAACATATACATGGGAAGGAGCTTGCATTAATACATGTGTCCTCTTCAGACCTCACTCATTTGTGGACAAGCCTTCCATCCACGCCTTCTTTATGTCTTCAAAATCACGAGTCAAAAAATTGTCGGAAAAAATTACATGACCAGTTCCCTTGTCTACCGGATCTTCCGTTTATCTTAAAAATATCACGGAGAATATATTCGTCTACTAATTATGCTAAACGCCAAAACGCTTTAACTTTTTACTATCCGAGTAAAATTTTAGACGCTGTTTCAAAACGCCGTCAAAACAGTATTTTATAAAAACATTAAAAAAATATTTTAATACATTGGTAATAAAAATAATTTTTAAAAAATAATAAATATTATTTTAATATATTTTTAAATAAAAATAACTAACATTACATTTCCAAACACCCTAAGTTTTCATTAATCTTGGGGTAAAATAGGACTAAATAACAAGTTACAATTAAAATTATATTCCTCGAAAAACGAACAGTATAGATTAATTAGGTCGAAAGGCAAATAAGAAACCATAGAAATTCAACGAACAAAAGAGAAAACGTTGCAATTTGAATATCAAAAGAAACAAAAAGGAAAACTTTGGTCCCTCATTTAAAAAAAACTAGCGTATCATTTTTTTAATACACTACTTAGCATAATAATAATAATAATAATTTTTTAAAATGCCTTTAATATACTATTCAATATATTATTCAATATACTATTTATTTTAAATTTTTTAAAAATTATTTTTAATATTATTATATTAAAATAATATAAAAAATAAAATAAAATTTTAAAACAAAAAAACTTATATTTTTTAAAAAGCACATGCAATTGCAAAAACAAAGCACTCGCCGGCACGGGGCTATAAGGTTGTAATTCGAACACACTTCAAGGTCAAAATCGTCCTTTCAAAATTTCGCTTGCTACCGTCTACCACGAAATAAAAAATATACTCCACCATAAATGTAAAATAACGAGTCGTAGTACTGGTAGCGATTAATTAATGGAGTAGACGATGTCAGGTCCCCTTATTAGTGTGGAGAAGAGAAGAAGAAGAAGAAGATAAGGTAATTTCGCACATGGTTTTTCTTTCTTTATGATGCTGTCCTGTTGTTCTGATCACTTAATCTCTCAATATGATTTAAAAACGAATGTTTAATTAAAACTTGGTTGATTAGTAAGCTACAGTGATAATCTTACCTGTTAGGGACTTGATTCTCTACTTTTATTTTGTTCTTGTCTAGCTTTAAGTGAAGAGTTTTTTCTTTGTCAATTTTCTTTGGTTTTGTCTTACTGTGATAGTACTTACCTTTTTATGGGTGAGTATTTTTGTGATTAGGTTTCCGAGCTTTGTGTCTTAGGGTTTCAACAGGTGAGAGGTTTTATTTGATTTGATTGTTTTTTCTTTTCCTTATTGGCATAATTGGGCTCAAGAATTCCAACTTTGTTTTTTTGATAAATGTAAGACTTTGGCTTTTTAATTTTATTTGACGACTGTGTTTCCTGCTTCACTGCCACGGAATCGGTGAAGTTGCTTAATTTTGAATGAGAAATTCACAAGATTTTGAGAGTTTACCTGTTCTTTGAGTGCTAATGCTCTTCATGATTGTGGAGACTTTAGAACGATTGGTTTTTCTAGGTAGATCTAGTGGATTTAGAATCTGTATTGCTAGTACTTTAGGGAATCTAGATGGCTCTACATATGATGGAAAACCTCTGGTTCTGCGCACAGAAAGTGCATGAATCTTCATTAAAGTTTACATCTAAGGTTCAGATGTTGAGTTTCTGGAACCAAGAGGTTCCACTGGTGGGAGTTGGGTCGTACTTTCCAAAACCATGAAGCGAATTTGCATGTGGATATTGTCAACAACTGTTTAATGTTTGATGATTCTACATTGTAGTTCCAGATGCTTAGAGTGATTAAACTTGGCTCTCTGTGAATCTTTTATTTTTTTGCATCTCTGCAAAATGTACATTCCATTGAGATGTGTTTGTGGGTTTGATTTAGGGGCATCTAATTGTCTGATTGATTTGACGATTGATGTATATATCCTCAGTGCTTTCTGGTGAAGGGACCTATGTCACTGCCGCTGTTAGTTCTATAGTTTCTTAATTTTTAGCGCTGATATCACATACTTGGCCCATGAACATGTTGCCTATGTTGTGCCATTAAACATGTTTACACTAGTTAAGTGTGAAGTTACTGACAAGTTGCATTCAACTTCTGCACACAGCCTGTTCATTGTTTCTCATGCATTCTGACAACTTCTGCACACAGCCTGTTCATTGTTCCTCATGCATTCTGATTGTCATGCACTTCTTTGTCCATTGAAACATCTGAATAAACTGAATTGTGTTTAATTTTTATCTGAAAGTGATCTGCGATCTTGTAATTTACAGGTCTGTTCATCAGTGTCTTGGTCACTTTATTTTCATGCAGCAAGTTTTGGGGAGATTATTGCACATAATTTGCTGAAGTTCCCTATCTTTTCGGCAAGCATCAGTCCTTGCAAAGATCCCGTTTCTTGTTTTACATATGGTAAATCTATCTAAATCCATGCAAAACCTTTTCTGTTCCTCCTCTCAAATAGTAGAAATTAACTCGGTTTTGGTAAGTCAAGGATAACAAAAGCATAATGATTTATGAGCATTAGCTAAGAAATGAATAGCTATATAAGTTCATGCCCTGGTAATGCCCATACATGGATAGCTTTTTATGATGTAAACACGAAGTAAATGTTTCACTACCTCGATGTTATTTCTTGGTTGGTTGATACAAACATCCTTAAAGCTATTTTTCGAACTTCTTACACTAGTCAAAATCCTTGCTTCCTGGGTTAAAGAAGATAGTTATTTTATCGGAGTTCATTCATGAAGCATGATAATTGGTTCTGTTCTTGGATTGCTACTTCTCTTGTCTTACTATTCTCTATTTTGCTATAATTTAAGGCGACATATGAAGATCTGCCGCCCAGCATGATAAAGAGACTTGCGAAGGAATTGAAGAATCTTGATAAATCCCTGCCCGAGGGCATTTCTGTAGGGATAAATGATGATGATTTTTCAGTCTCAGAAACCGATATTGAAGTTCCAGGCATGCAATGTTTTCCTAAATTTAATCTCTTTAAGATGTGTTGAGATTTATGTTGAATTAAGATTATTTTGTTTTGCAGCTGTAACTGCAAATGAAAATAATGTTTATCGCATGAAGCAGCTTTTGTCTCGTGACTTTCGACGCCCTCCTTTAAAAGGTGGGTAGATGGGCATTTTGGTCACATCTTTATGTTGCTATGATCTGTAGGCTTTTGCTATTTATTTTGGTTCAAGTCTGGAAGTTTACATCGATAAGGAAATTTTGGTTTTATTGTGCTGCCATCCTTCGAATTTCATGTTACCCTCTAGGGTTCAAGTTTTACCTCTTCTGTTGTCTAACACCCTGTGAATGTACTGAACTTGATATAGTATGATTTAACTTCTCAACTGCTTATGCTTAAGAGCATCACTCCAGAAAGTCAATAAACAAATTACATACATATTACCCAGCCCTTTTTTTTTTTTTTGTTTGTCACGGCATGTGATCTGTCTTCTCTACACTCCATGACAGTGCTCTGTTGTGTTATTGTTGTAAATACAATGTTATGATGTCACACTCCAATAAAAAATAAGATATGCAAACTTATTATTTGACAGGTAGATCCCCAGACCAAGAATCAATAGGGTCTGAAACAAAAAGATCTAGTGTATCATCTGGCAGCAGGTCTCATAACCGCAAGGAGTTTCTTTCTAGGTTCGTGGACAGTCAAACTCTGACAGCCAGGCTAGAAGACTGGTTTGAATCGATATCAGAAAATTCTGGACAAAAGAAGTCTGCATTTGATGTTCCTTTTGAGTTGATAGAACTTCAAAAGTTTGATTATGCATTGGAAGGGGTTTCATTTCAGCAGCTGGTTCGAATGCCCAGTGCTGTTTATGCTTCAACATCTGATTCTGTGGAAGCAACTGCTTATCTTGCTATTGAAGACTTTCTACATGCAAGTGTGAAGGGCTTGTGGGAGGCATTTTGGAGTCAGGATGATCCTATGCCTTTCTCAGTTGCTTGTCTATACAATGAGAACTTGAAATTCTACCAGGCTGAGAAAGCAATAGGTAATGGAAAACTTGGTGGTCTTTGTGCCACTGGTGTATTACTTAACAACCCTAGACATCCGCATGGAAAGTGGGACCATATTCTTGAATTGGCCCTTCTAAGGCCTGATATTGGAAGTGTAGCTGCGGGAAGTGACCGGCAACTCTCTTTATCTGTTCTGGGTGAGGCTCTCTTCTATGCTATACGCATGTTACTATCAAGAAGCGTGAGCAGATTGAATTTATCTGAGAGTCCAAATTGTGCCTATGTTCTTCTTGTTGATTCTCAACATGGCGGGGTTGTAAAAGTTGAAGGAGATGTAGATAAATTGGAGTTTGATGTGAATAATGTTTACGACTGTTCCGTGGACTGGATAAAAAAACACTGTAAAGTCACAGTCTCTCCTGTTGATAGGATCTGGAACAAGCTTGGAAATGCCAACTGGGGAGACATTGGTGCTCTACAGGTACTTTTTGCTACTTTCCATTGTATCGTGCAGTATTCAGGGATGCCTAAGCACTCGATTGAAGATTTAGCAGCTGATCATGGTCCTCGCCTCCTAACAAGAAGAGTGGCAAGGCAGTTAGGGGATTCCAGAGTTAATGGCCATGGACTATTCCGGTTTCAGCAACAGAGTGTTTCTCCTGAAATTGTTGAAGTTCCGGATGAATCTATCAAAATAAAGTCTGAAGAGTTGATAATGAAGCTGGATGTAGGATCTGTACTATGGTTGGAAGACTCTGAATGTCAAAAAGGTTATCAGATCAATGATGTCCTGCACAATAATGAACTACGGTATTACATAGCATCGCCTGTTAATGATCCTGGTAAATCTTTGTATCTTTATGTTGGTTCCCATCCTTCTCAACTGGAACCAGCATGGGAAGATATGAATTTGTGGTATCAAGTCCAAAGACAAACTAAAATATTGGCTATTATGAGGCAGAAAGGTCTGTCTAGTAAATATCTACCACAATTGAGTGCTTCTGGCAGGATTGTTCATCCTGGCCAGTGTCGAAAACCCAGCTCAGGTGGGAACTGTGATCACCCATGGTGTGGTACCCCAATTCTCGTTACCAGTCCAGTTGGTGAGACAGTTGTTGACATGGTAAATGCTGGCAGATTTGGTTTGGAAGAGGCTATCAGGTGTTGTCATGATTGCGTATCTACACTTTCTACAGCTTCTTCCGCTGACATTCGGCATGGAGACATTCGGCCGGAGAACATAATTTGTGTCGTGTCTGGGGGGAGGCATCCTTATTTTGTCCTTGTTGGTTGGGGTCATGCGATTCTTGAAGACAGGGATCGCCCTGCAATGAACCTCCATTTTTCTTCTACTTATGCACTGCAGGAGGGAAAACTGTGCTCAGCTTCGGATGCAGAGAGCCTGGTATACGTGCTCTACTTTGCCTGTGGTGGAGCTTTGCCTGATTTAGATTCGGTTGAGGGGGCACTGCAATGGAGAGAGAACTCATGGTCAAGGAGATTGATTCAGAAGAAGCTTGGTGAGTTATCAACTGTGTTGAAAGCTTTTGCTGATTATGTAGACAGTCTTTGTGGGACACCATATCCTATAGATTATGACATATGGCTAAGAAGATTAAGGAGAAATATTCACGATGGTGACCATGGAAAGGAAGTTGACACATCTGGCTAGGACTTTTTCACTGGTGTAAGCGGCATAAATGAATCCATAAATCATATCGATCATTCTCACTGCCTGGGAGCAAATGATAGAATATGGAGTTTAAGCACTTGTGGTCGATTGTTAAGCTTTGGACGATCTGGAGGTTTTTTAAGTCTTAAAGGGAGAAAAGGAAGTTCAAAATCCCGAGAATGGTTTGATTGTGCTCCCACGTGGCTTTTCGATTTTGAAGATTCTTCTGGCCGTTCCTTCTATTCTGTAAATAATTGGGACTGCATGAGTGTCTCTGTTCAGACCACGCCACACACTACAACACTACCTTTATTTTGCTGGCGTGTAGTCCCATTACACTGTAGAGTTTTAAAAAACGGTTGCTTTCTGCTTTGGTGCTGAGTTTCTTAGCAGTACGTGCAGCACTTGTTGATGGTACGAGTACTGTGAAAGTTCTGTAATTGTTCGAATCATAGATTCGTCCTGGTCATCATTCCTTGTAATTGGTTCATGACCGTGTACCCATTGTCTTCTTTTTCTCCATGATTTTCGTCTGTTCTTAAGGAGCAAGCTGAATGTCACGTTGTATTAGTAAAGCACGTAGCTCGCGTAATTTTTTTCATTTAGCATTTGTAACACTCATAACAATGACCTTGCAACTCATTCTTGTCAAGCCAAACACATCATAAGCATATCACCGAAGATGGTAAAGGAGGATAATCCAGAAATTAAGCAAAGGGAACATTACAACAAGACGTTATGGTACTTCTATGTTAAATCAGACTGTTCAGGGATCCAACTTCTACAGAGGTTCATATCCTTCGGCATGTAAAATCACCAGGGATTACAACCACACAAAGCATGCAGCAAGTAGAGCTTTAGTTTCTTCAGCTGTAACGTGGAAAAAAAAAAAAAATACAAGGCAGCAATCTCAAGGGCACCTTCACATGTACCATTAGAATTTACATCGCATGTAACTTTAGAATTTACACACATCAGATCAAAGTGGAAGTTCATTCAAGGGTTTTATTGCTGCAACGCCACTGAGATCAGGCCTCATGTACTTCTCGTACGTAACTCTCAACTGTGATGTTCTTGCAGCCTTTTGAAATCTCAATATCATCTCAGCACAGTCCCTACAAAAATCAATTTAGATCATCACCAGGCGGGAAAGTATACAATTTAGATCATCACCAGGCGGGAAAGTTTACCCAATCTCAATATCATCTCAGCACAGTCCCTACAAAAATCAATTTAGATCATCACCAGGCGGGAAAGTATACTCATGGAAATTAATCTTTTAACAAGAGGTACCTGATTTGGGAGACTTGATAATGTGTATGTCTGGTAAGCAAAGGAGTCCAAGCTGGAGATACTTGCAAGGTAGACCGAGCAACATAGATAGCTGATGCACATAGCATTGAAGGTTTGAACTTTAAAGCTTTATATTCAACCATACAGAGTTCGATGAGGTAGAATGCTAAATGCTCAAGCTGGCAATAAAAGTGAATATTAGGTTAGTAGATTCAAATTTCTATTGACAATAGTACAGACAAGAATGCATGACTTTTATCAGTTAAGAATCTAAGATCATCTGCCGTTGACCATCCAATATCCAGCCTTACTATAACTGGACAATCTCTTCTTTACTGAAACACAACCATGGAGGCTTTTACTGATATGCACATGACAGATTAGATGCAACAAGAGATCTTCGAATATCCAGATTTAGAGCCCTTTTGAAAGCCACATACCTTCTGGTCTGTTTGAGCAGCCTTGAGAAACCTCAACATGAAAACATATGGAGTCGGCTCATTTAGACGAAACTTCAACTTCTTAAGAAAAAGCTTCTCCTGAACACAAAGCAAGAAAACACTGCCACTAAGACCGAGAGATAGATCAACATCAGAATGTACTGATATTTTATGCCATCATCTTTCAGGAAAGAGGGAAGAAGATAAGTTGGCATCATTCTGTTACGCAAGTTTGTAAATAACATACAAATATGCAATAAAGCAGCACAAGGGAGAAAGTTTACAGATCAAGTCCATCCAGGAAAGATGTTTACTTTCCTAACCCAGTAACTACAAGAAGAGAATCAAATCCTCGATGCCAAATATTTATGTCTAGTACCACCAGAATCTCTTTTACAAGAAACTAAATTTCAGTGAATTAAGATTGGTAATATGCAACATCATACCATCACAAACATTTGGCCTCTCGTGTATGACTCAGCCGAGATGCTAATTAAATCTTTGATCTGCATTGCATGGTGCAGAAAACGATGTATGAGTGTATTGTCTCAAAAAATAAAAAAATCAAATAAGATTTCAACTGAAACTGTGTGAGTTTGACATATTATTTTTTTACCCTAGGATGCCAAAAATCTTCGTATTTTGATGCCAGAAGCAGTGCTGTAAGACCAACCAACTGCAGTTCACTCTTCTTAATTTCAACTTGAGATAGGTATCGATCTAACAATGTAACCATTAGATAAAGTGTTTCCGGCATTAATTCAAATTTGAAGTGTACCTGCAACCAAAAAGGAAAATAAATTACTGTAGGAAAACAGCAGCAAAAGCAAGATGCTTAAAAGTCAATTGAGAACAAATGGGTGCCCACTTCAATTAGCCAGTTGATGACTATGCCCCGCATTTGAGGTGTAATTTCTGTGTGAATTGCCATGTAATTTTCCAGACATAAATTCTGCACCTGAAAAAAAGATCATAAACAACACAAGCAACAAAACAAATTAGATTTTATTTAACAACTAATGGGTTGCCAACAGAAGAAGTGAACAAGGGATGGGAACGAGATCAGTAAGGTAAAAGTCAAACCATCATTCACATGCCTGGTTTCATCAGCTCCAAGTCCCAAAACAAACTTAGAAAGTTTATAATGATTTAATTTGTAGAAAAAACATGAAAAGATATGTGATCATAAAATGGATTGACTTTAACATCATTGAAGACCTGGAACGATTCACTTGATATCAGATTTCCCATTCAAGATGAGATCCCAATGATACCTATACACCAAACAGTATTTTCAAGTGAGATCCCAATGATAACTATATATCAAATAGCGTCCAATGTTTGGCACCCCAAACCAATCTCTCCCTTAATGTCACAGAACAGCACTAAAGCTTCTCACTTCCCACCAATCATAATTTGGTTTATTAAAGCAATATGTAGAAATTGTTGAGTAGGCAAAACATAGACCATGTCAACCAACATTTTAAGTTGACCATAATCATTTGGTTAATTGATGCAAATGTGATGTTTTAATTTCCATAATCAACAACAATGGATTATGGATTATGATTTTACTCGATTATGGAAGTGAATCCACTCAAAGTGAAGAATTGCATTTATATCAATTAACGTGTGCCCTTGGAGCACATGACTGAAAAATCTACTGAACAATTATATGCAACCTGCTGTGGAAGATCTGGCCCCATTCTCACCACTTAAAACACAAAACTCTCACAAGGGTGCCTTTTCTTGCAATCATATATATGTATAAGAACTAGTCTCTAGCAGCTAGTCTTTTACTTTATTTAGCTGAAAATTGTGGGCATGCTTGCTAAACATTTCAGCTGATTTAACTTCTTTCTTATCTGCCGGCTAGTTGTATTAGACAGAGTAATTAACAACTTAAATGAGTTGTGTATGCAACGGCATTGACAAACAGATCAATATTGGAGAAGAACATTTCTCCACAAGATTTTTACACGTTAATTTGCAAAAAATTCTCAATCTACCTTTCTTTCCATCATATATTATTTAGCTGAAGACTGCTGGCGCCTCCAACATTTCAGCTTAGTCAATTCCTATCTCATCTGACAGCTAACTGTTATTATACACGATAGTTAACAACTAAAAAGAGTGATTCATGGTGTTAGATGTCAAATCAACCTAAAATATGGGTGTGCCTGTGAAGGAAATTTTTTCAAGAACAATGGCGTCAAGTTCGATCAAATCCACTAGAAGAATGACTCCAACTACCATATAAAAAACGCAGCACAGGGATCCAGAAAAATGAATTGGGAATAAAAGAGCAATCACCTCCAAAACCCAATAGTACTCGTATATCTCGTCAACATACTCAGCAACTTCCAGTTGATTGAAAGTATCATCTATACTTGGTAGCTTTTCCTGCTCGATAACTTCACCATGCTCCTCTAGTAACTACAAAATAATGGCAATTGTTAGAAAAAATGCTCAAGAACAGTTAGACATTATGACAGTGAATTAGTCCTAAACCTTTGGTCCTGTCATTAATAAAGATGTATAAGATCTCCTTCGACTTGATTTTCTTATGGTGTTGACATTTGATTTGTTATCAGCGCCTGACTTCTTGTTGCTGTCAGGTGAAGGTTCTCCTTGAGTAACGTCTTCATGGGCGACCAACGGCATGTTTTCTGAACAAGACGTGGCAGATCCTTTTTTCTTTGATGATATAGCAGCAATGCACTCAGACTTGTTTGAACTAGAGATGCACTTTGATCTTGAGGTCTTATGGTTAATTTCAGTCTTTAGTATTGGCTGGACCAATGAATGCAGAAAAAGAGTTAACATGACTAAGAACAAAAGAACAAATCTTTGTAAATTACTCTCAAGTTGTGAGATAGAGATTTCATTTGAGCTATACACATTAAAGCAAGATCAGGATTTGATAGTCTGCTATCTAATTAAAATCCTGATCTTGCTTTACATTCACTTATTGCCAATTATTTGTAATTAGGCTTATGCAGCTTAAAGATGCCATCTAACATGATTTCAATCTCAAGATGACATATGTCATGAAATTCAGCATGCACATTCCAGTGCTTTTAAATGATTTCAAACTTCCACACCATGTCAGCTTTGCCTGAAGACTACAACAAATTATAAACTCTCACATTGCCTAAAAAAATTCAAAAGATAGAAATAAGCAACACCATAAATGTTGTCTAACTAAGTGTAGACAATGAGTTAATTTACAAAAGAATGAAGCATGGATAATTGGGAAATAAGAGGGAAAAAAGTAGATATAAAACACAGCTCATACCCTGACAGATTTTCTGGATACACGGGCATCAGCATTAGCTCGATCCCTGGGAGCCCTATTTACAGATAGAAAAGATAATCATTTGCAGCCCCGTCAATCATCAATTGATAAAAGGAAAAAATTTCTCGGCCATGATTCAGAAAAATAATTAATCTCTCTCAGTTTAAGGATTAAGTATAAATTGCAGCTAATTTATGTTTTTGTAATTGTAATGCTATGCTTTGTTTTGAAATTTTTGACTCATCTATTACACAGAAAATAGAATACAATTCATTGATGAGCAAAGAAAAGGAAAACCATTTTGTTTATGCAAATAAATTAATATGTACAAGAGAATAAATTGAATTAGAGCACAGACAGCAGTTCCTTTTTTTCCTTTTTTGAGATAAACAGATAATGGTTACTTACATTAATATGAAGCCATCACTCACTCTATTTCTCCATAGATGGCTCCTACCCACGCCACCCTGAGATACTACTTTCTTACCCACTTTAACCTTAACTGCAACCAAAAGAATTGAGATATAAATAGGCATATAAATATCATGAATCTTAGTCAATGGACTGCAGAGCCAAGTATAAAAGAGACACGAATCAATTTGTCTTACCAGGAAACCCACTAATATTCTTAGTTTTCTCAAAGTTTTCATCATTCTCCTACAAATGAAAGGTAAAAAACAGAAAAAGGCACTAGGAATCAGACGAAACCAGTACAAAAATATTTCATTAGGAATAGAAAGCAATTCTTTTCTTTGAAAATTGTATGTGATGAGATTAACCTTTGCATTGCTTGCATCTGCATGGCTCACCCTCTTCAGCACTGGCAGAGACTTCCTTCATGTCAAAAGTAGGAACAAAAAATATATCAATAGCATATATAAATTGTTATTTTAATGAGTAAATTTCATACAAATAGAATCACAAACCTCATCGCCGCAACCAAATTCCCTGCATTCCTCCTATAAAATTAAACATAAATTTAGTTCAAGAAATTATTGAGTCGCACAAGACAGCTGCAAAGCTTCTGGCATTGATACTAACAGATTTGTGTTGTACCCTTATTCCTACCTAGATAAAAAATATGACTAACATAATTCAAATACCTGCTCTTATTAATGCCAAATTCACGGCCATGATTCTTGGTGTTGGTCTTCTGATCATCCAAAGAGGCCCTTAGATCTTTGTCACCTACTATTGTCCAAGACCAGTAACTATCCAATGAGAATCCCCATTTAGAGATACAATGAAAGTAAGTATTTTGTTATACCTTTTCTAGAAGCATGAAAGTCACCAGCCTTTCTACTTGTATTATCCTTCATTTTTCCCTAATTTGAAACAAGAAAATTATCAATACTCTAGAATTACAGGAGGAATAATTGAAGCGCCAGATAAGAGAGAACATTGATATTTATTAGCGATGATAAAAACTTTCATCTTTCAACTGGCACAATGTGGTAGACTTAGGTGCAACGGGCAGCTATCACAAGTACTATGAACTTATTTTATGATTACCCATGACAAAGACAAAGTATATAATGGTGACCAGATTCAATGTTAGGAAACCTCATCCAACATTGGCGAATAGTTCCTCATGAATCATCCATGTTTAATGAAAATCTCAATTCCTTGGATAAACAAGTTTGAAGTGTGAAATTAGCGGGAGCTAAGTCCCAAAAGAATACCAAATTCAACTTGTAGAAATTCACTCTCAGTTATGAAGCAATCAAGAAACAGAAGAAAGCAAACATAAATCTGAAGGAGGAAAGCAGCATATATTGTACTCTATTGAATTTGGAGAATGCTGTGGCAAACAGTGAGAGAAATTACAAATCATCAACTGTATGGCAAAATATTGGCCAAGTTTAGGATTTTCTTTTCAAGGAAAGAAGAAGAAGCCTGTGTTTGCTAATGCAAGGACAACCAAAGCATGAAAAGTGAAGCCAAGAGAAAAGAGGCTAATTTTCCAGAATTCCATAAAGGAAGAAATTCAGCTACGCTGATTAGAATTAAAAAAAATGATTTCTGCTGAGCAACATGGAGACTCAAGCAAGCAACAAAGAACCTCCCTGACAGCATGCAAATCCAGAATAATTGACCATACAGAAATGAAAAAATAGGCAAGTGAATCCTGCCTGCCTCACAATTTGGAGGAAGTTATCTTCTGTCACACTAGAGAAGCGGGCTAGGACAAAAATGTTGGGTTTCAACCATTCCCCTCATCCTCCCTGTCTCCCCATTCCGCCAACAAACAAGCACTCAAAAGTGTGCTTCCCTTGTTATCTAACTAATTTGAAATGAAGGCATCATAACTGGATACAGAATCTAGTGAAATATTGTACCAGCAATTGAGCTGGATGCTATACTTCTAGGCTGATTTTGCAGAAAGAACCAGTAGGCAAAACATTTTAAGTTACCTGGTTAGAAACCAATAATGAATGAGAAAACATCATAAACAATGCAATGGGAACACAGAAGAAAAGAAACAAGCTGACAGAACACAAAAACTTGTACTTAGAATTTGGTTTTCATACCATTGCAGATTTTCTTGATGAAAGATTCACAGTCCTAGAGCCTGTACTGCTTGAAATCCTAAAGGAGTTGATGACAAGCAGAGAATCATGTCAATCTTAACCAGAAACAAAGGAGCAATCAATCAAAGGACAAGAAAATATGGAATATCCTTAACAATGACCCTCTGTAGCTAATTTATATAGAAAATCTAGCATGCATGGAATGCTCAGAAGAAATTCTGCTATGAAGAATTAAATTAAAGTCAAGAAAGATAGTTATGCCCCCGTAACCTGAATAAACTTTGATTATTTACTCAATTGGATAAAGAAAACGTTCTTTTTAACTTTTGTCCATATCTTGGAGCCAAAAGCCAAAAAGATAGAAAGCAAGAGAGAATATATTCCCCTGAGCAATCATGGATACCTAAATGTTCAAATTGTCTTTCATAAAAAAATTTGCAGATAAACTCTTCTGCCTTTATAGAACTTTTATAAACTTTAACGATAAAAGAACTTTTCATAATTTTACTTGCAGAAATGAAAAAAGGATTTGCACGTAAGACATGAACAGGAAACATATGCAACCAGTAGATAAAAATGCTCTTCATATATTAAAAACTAGGCATGCCAATTCAAACACTCACACTGATTTCAAACCACCATATGCCGCATTCCTTGCACAGCTACTCTGCACATTGCTTACATCAGCCAATGCTTTTCTTCTGGCATTTTGATTTACTGGAAAGGGCCACTATCAAAGTTTAACAATGACAAAGAAAAAATCAACAGAAAGATAAACTATTATTAAATTTAGCCATACCAGTCAGTCTAGATGTGTCATGTTTGCCTTTGTTCTGCACCACAATCTTCGAACTTCCCTTCATATTACATGTTAAGGGCAACTATTAAAGCATCCTTCAAATGGATATCTAAAGAAAGTAGCATTCTTAAATAAACAACCATTAATGCAGGAAAGGGAAACTTACCTTTGAATCACTTGTTATGGCAAGAGGATCTTCTTTGTTAGATATCCTTCTGTAGAATTTTTTTTTTTTTAAAAAAGATGTTAAAAACATATCAAGAAACAAATAAAATAATATATTTCCATTGTCCAATGTTTCCAATTTATTTAGAAAATGATCTCAATCAAGCCAAGGAGCCATCAAAGCGGGATGATGTAATTTCTTTTCTACATCCAACAATATTAGAAGATAAGATTCTTTGAAATATATCAGTTACCTTAACCTCTCCATTAAGCTGAGCCTTAATAAAAGTTTTTTAAAGCCAAATAACAAAACTTAAAAATCCAGATTTCTGATCTTTTCTTCACCTATAATTCACAAGCAGTTATGATGATTTAACAAGTCTACAGCATCACATACCTTGCAGGAAGAAGATTATCTCGGGCAGATTTACTGGAAAGAGAATTGAAAACATCACGCTTGCTAATCAAGAAGCATTAAGCAATAATAAGAATTTCCAGAGTGAACCTGAACTTGATTATACTTACATGCTAGCAGCATCCTTCATCTTTTCGTTTTCTGAATAGACTTTAAAAGTTCTAACACCTAAAATAAATGTAAAGGTAAAAAGAATTAGGTACATAAAACAATTCAAGAATCTGAATCATTAAGTCAGATCGAACAAAACCCAATGAAACCCTTTACCTGTTCTGGAAGTATGGGCATCTTCAGCTACACGGTTGATCCCCACGCTGAATTTTCCCTAAAACAGCACAAGGAAAACATGTATATAAACAATGAATTCATCAAAGAGACTAAAAAAAAGAAACAGTGTGTGGGTCTGTGTCATACTTTAGCAGCCACCATTATGTTTCTTTCTTTCTCGGTTCCTCTGATAGAAAGATCTCGAACTCGATGACGATAACAGATCTAAAGTTCTCTCACTAAATTTGTTTACCTAAACTGAAAAAGGAAAAAAACACAATTTCAACATCGTAGAAGGCATTGAAGAAATAATCACAATTCTAAAAACCCTAATTCTTAAACTTCGAATTAAAATACAAAAGCAAACGGATATAAAATGAAAACTTAATAGAAGTTAAAGAAAGATCAAAAAGATCAATCAAAGAAGCTATTAATGGTTAGATTATACCTTTAATGACGCTAATTTCTCTTCGATTTCTTTGTTTTCTCTTAAGATTTTTTGAGAGAGAGGGGCTGAGATTGGGTTACCGTTGCAGATGTTGATCAGTGCTAGATTTTTATGGTTTCAAATTTTTCGAGCTTTTTACTGTTATGCCCTCATTCGAATTTTGTTTCTTGTTGCGCTTTCTGATTACATGGGCTCGCTACCTTTATATTGGAGCCTCAACCATGTAATATCTGGGTCTCTAGGCATGTAACTAATGAAAATGTAATCAGTAACTTTTGAAAAGCTATAAATTGTTTTTGGTTTCCAAAGTTTTTTTAATTTTTTTAATTTTGTATTATTTTGATATATTAATATTAAAAATAAATTTTAAAATTTTAAAAATATATTATTTTAATATATTTTTAAATTAAAAACATTTTAAAAAACAACCATTACTACAAAAATAATACATTTAAAACCATAATTACAATCAAAATAATGATTATCATTATTCAGAATATATTTATTTTTATATTTTAAAAATAATTTTTTCTTTTTATATATATATATTAATTTTTATATTTTTTGATGTGCTAATATCAAAAATAAATTTAAAAAATAAAATATTATTATTTTAATATATTTTTAAATAAAAATATTTTAGAAAATAACTATTACTACAATACTACAAAAAAAACTTTTATACTAAAGGTAACAAGACTGATTAGGATTTTACTAAAAAAAAATGATTTATCATTTTAATTGGGGGAAGATATTTTTTCGTGGAAATTGTTTTTTTTCGTCTATCCTTTTTTTTTTATTTTTTTTATTTATCTGACAACCTTTTGTTTTTTATTGATGATATAGTTGAATTTTCTAAGAAAAAAAATTATTAACCATTCTAATATATGTATGTATGTATGTATGTATATGTATGTATATTACATTGATACATGATTAAAGTAACCTCCTATAAAAATAAGATTTTTTGAATGATATGAGTCACTTTTAATTAATCACTAATTAACTAATAATAAATTTTTCTTACAATCATATAATTAAAAACAAACGAGAAAATGAATTGAGGGAAATTTTAAAAATTAAAGAGAAAAATGGAAATGTCGTAAAAAAAATGACCTAGAAGCGAGCTCAAGCATGACCATCCCATTGCATGCACTATGCATTAACAACTTGTTTGGTTAGAAGTAATAGCCAGTGTCATGCAGTGACTGATTACGCCTATTTTTTATTATGTTATTTTCAACATTATAGTACAATAAATTATTATAATAATAGATAGTTACAAAAAAATCACCTGTAGTTTAGTTTAATCATTTTTTTTTATATAAATTATACTTTACATCACTAGATTTACATATTAAATAATAGTTTATATCCTTAGCCGCAAAATAAAAAAATATATGAATATTGATATGATTGTCATTTAATGAATTATGTAATTATCACTCTATTCAATGATTAAAAAGCCATAATACCTTGAAATAATAAAAATATCATCTTATCTTAATTAATGATTACAATAATATCATCCATAATTAATAATTCTCCCGGATAAAATGCCATAAGTGTACGAAAGTGGATTGATGGGTTTTTAGGATAAATTTTGATATATGTTTTTCTTCCTTTTCCCATCTCTTTTTATTTTTATTTGAGTACCACCATCCTTGTCTCTCTAAATAAACAAAAAAGTATCGTGTTTGTTTTTTTTATTATATATATATATAATAATTATTAAAGATTTATATGGTTATAATTTTAAAGTTTATGAAATTAATAATAATATATATAAACTGATCTGAATATTTATATTATTTTAAAATTAAAAATAAAAAAATTTAAACACCTATATTAATATAAAAAAAAAACAGGGCCATCCATGAGTCCCAGCAACCTCATTTAAACAGTTCCTCCTTTTCTTTTCCCCCGTAAAACGAGAATCTCATTCGCACACATGAACCCATCAAGCAACCGTATAATTCATCCCACCAATCCAACACAAAAACAACAACCAATTCCATATATTTGCTCAAAATCCATGAGAGTACAAGATAAGATTTCAATTGAAGGGTTGAGATGCAGTCAGCTGTAGATTTTCTAGAATTTTCTTTATTGCCTATTTATCTGAGAAATTAGGGGGCTTTGAGGAAATTGAGAAGTATAGACAAGAATACCATTCATAATAAATAAATAAAAATAAGACTTTCTGCATTTTTTTGATAGACAGTGTGCTACAACATGAGCACTTATTCTTACATTATACAAATTAAAACTACTCCCTCATTATTCCTGATCACAAGACCAGCACCCATGGCAGAGCCTTGATCAAGATTGCCTGCATCAGTGTTACATTTCAGAAATCCTACAGTAGGCTTATCCCATTTCTGACATTGGGTATTGAACAATCTGGCACACGCACTTCCACGGCTGCCAAAACTCCAGCCCCTGCTATACCACAGATTGCACACCAGTCATGCTTCCATTCCATATTCTTGAATTCCACTGGTTCCAAAGAGACCACATTGTAACCACCATTCTAGCCAATTGATCCTCAAAAATTCCCCACTTGGGAAATGTCTTGCTTTGAGAATTCTAGCCACCAGGCTATGCGGTTCGAGCAACAATTCCCATCCTAACTTACCAAGAAGAGCCAGGTTGAAGCAGTGTAGATTTCGAAACCCAAATCTTCCTTTCTTCTACATAGTCCATCCCAACTCGGCCAAATTATTCCTCGCCCATCTCTTTGGTCACTGCCCAACCAATATCTTCATCATCCTCTGAAAATCAGCACATATAGATGTCGGCAACAAAAATACACTCACATTATAAGTCGCCAAAGCTTGAGCCACCGAATTGATCATCACTGCTTTGCCTGCTTTTGACAACAAACGCCCTCTCCATCCATGAATGTTCTTCCACAAACGATCCCTCAAATTAATTGGCAAACACCGAATGTTTATTACGTCCAATTAATTAGTGATGGTAACCCCAAGTACTTTCCATGGTTCAGAGGTGAAAAGACCCGAAGAATACCTTAGATATGCTGCTGGCACTCCACTTTGACTCGTTACATTACAAGCATTATAAAAAAAAAAATGTTGTACAATAAACCATTATATGATGAAGCGTCGTCTCATGGACACTTGATTGTGAAACGTTTTTCATCATAAGGATTGAGTTATAAGTTTTATAAAGTATAAGCACCAAAAGAACTTTCAAACAAGGACCACTGTAAGTAGAAATAAAAAATATATATTTTTAATTACAAGGACTAAAATAAAGTTCTATGAATTTCTTCATTACATTACTAAAAATTTGCAGCCAAATAAAAGAATGTAATGAATAATTCCATCTCATTATATTTTGAATTACATTACATTTAACCATACATTCCGATATCAAAAACGAATACTTTCAATAAATGCACTTGGGATGAAGAATTCCTCTCATCACTTGAAATTAAGACCCGAAAAGAGAATTCCTGCGAGGCGATAACAAAAACGGCCCTTCTTTTTTTTTTTAAAATCCCCTTCATCAGCGACGTTTAAGCAGCTTAACAAGGCCAAGAAAATTATATATACAAAACATGAAACTGAGTACTTAACTAAGTAATTAGTTGTCTAACAAATAGGCGGCGAGATGGCTGCTGCGTCCACGAAAAGCCCGGCCGGGAAGGGGGCACCGAACAAAATGTTAAAAAAAGTGGCATAACTTACTAAGAAAAAGAAACGACATGATATCGACATATATGAGGTAGAATGTTAAAGTATGTTCCACCGTTTCGATCCTAGCAAAGTTTTCTTGATTTAGGTGAATGCATGACAACATTTTGTCCGCACCTGGCTCTTTTGCTGGCTATTTCTTATACAGACTAAAATAATAGATTGATTACATATCAAATATGAAATATTATATCGTTACTACCCGCATACATGTTCGAAGGGATTCTACTGTATCTAAAAGCTTGGAATCCTTCCTATAAATCATAAATGTGAAATTCTTTCTTGGATGCATTGTTAACGACGGGAATTTGCCGTTCAAAGTAGAATGGAAAGGTGTTGAAGAGTTGTATATATTTTTTTTAGAAAGGTGTTGAAGAGTTGTATATATTTTAAAAAAAAAAATGAAAGATAATTTTTCATGTGGATGAGCTTCTCTTCTCTTTTATTAGTATGTATTTCAACGATTGGTAGGGTTGCAGCAGATAGGTGCAGCCACAACAAACGTAAACACGACACCTATGACAATTACTGAATGTAATTAATAATCATAAACTGCTAAATTTACTTTTGGTGCCCAGTTTATGAACCACTAAATCATGAGCGAGCAACCCATATATCTATGTGAAAGCAGATCACATGCAGACTACATATATATATACTAATGGAGTTTCAGGTTGGGCCAGTGGTTCGGTTTCCCTTTTCCTGCAAATTCTTATTTTTGTGTGATCATGTTGACTGTATAAAATATTCTGTTGTTATTAGCCATCCAGTGTTTCGAACAGTCGGCATATTACACATCCCTTCCCCTTCTTTCCTTTCCGCGTATATAAGACCAGACTCACTGATCATTTCTCTAAATTAAACCCGCAAACCTGAAAGCTGTCAATTCTCTCCCAATCCCTCCTCTCTGAGACGCCATGACTGATCTTCAAGCTTGCTCCTTAAACGTCCGTAAGATCATATCATCTGTCTTGTTTCTTCTTTTTTACCCTACTATAGTCTCTTGTGAGTGTACATGCGAGGTTGAAGATTTAAAGCATGATAAAGGTGAAGCTCTAAAGTATAAGCTAGGTTCAATACTCTCAATTCTTGTTGCTGGTGCTATTGGTGTTGGCCTCCCTCTGTTAGGCAAGAAAATAAAAGCCTTGAGCCCTGAAAATGATATTTTCTTCATGATCAAGGCATTTGCAGCTGGTGTTATCCTGGCAACCGGATTCATTCACATACTACCGGACGCGTTTGATAGCCTAACCTCACCATGCCTTGCCCAGAATCCATGGGGGGACTTTCCATTCACAGGTTTTGTTGCCATGATGACTGCAATAGGGACACTAATGGTGGATACATATGCAACGGGATTTTACAAGAGGATGCATTTTAACAAGAGCAAACCGGTAAATACTACAGATGAAGAGACAGCTGGAGCGCATGAAGGTCATGTACATGTTCATACTCATGCTACACATGGTCATGCCCATGGTTCTGCCTCCCCAGAGGAAGATTTGGCCCTGTCCGAATTGATTCGTAGGAGAATTATATCCCAAGTAAGATTAATTTCATGATCTAATCTGTTTGCAATCTCTTGAGACTGGTTTTTAATGATGAACTAACATAACCTATGTTTTGTGCTTGGATGAATGTTGTTCCAGGTATTGGAGCTAGGGATTGTAGTTCATTCAATAATTATTGGAATATCTCTGGGTGCTTCTGAGAGTCCAAAAACAATAAAGCCTCTCATGGTAGCCTTGTCTTTCCACCAGTTTTTTGAGGGCATGGGACTTGGTGGCTGCATCACACTGGTAAAAAATTTATGCCACGTCGAATAACTATAAGAGTATAGAATACTGAAAGATTAAACATCTTTTCCAATGAAAAACTTTATTTGCAATCAGTGCTTTCTTCCAACCAGTAGAATTGTACGCAGTGGTCTTAAAGGCCTTTTTATAGTCTGCTAGACTGGGTTGGAGATGTCGACAGTATGGCAACATCTTTCTTTCTAATTTCACTTTTCATCAAACTTTGTGCTATATTAATCCCAAATGGTCAATTCCTTGCGTAACAAAGTTGATTTAAGTAGTTATCTACGTTCCTAAATACTGTTCATCATGCATACAGGTGGGCCATACACGCACAAAATTGCCTCACATGTGAATGATTATGGGAAACCTGCAGTTTTACTAGTTAATTTTATCATTGACCTGAGTTTTTTTCTGCACTCTGATGGGTTTTTGTTGGTATTTACAGGCACAGTTCAAATCTACATCTATGGCAATAATGGCAACATTTTTCTCCCTGACAACCCCAGTGGGGATTGCCGTCGGTATTGGAATCTCTAGCATTTACAATGAGAACAGCCCAACTGCTCAAGTAATTGAGGGCATTTTAAACGCAGCTTCAGCAGGGATTTTAATATACATGGCACTTGTTGACCTGTTAGCAGCAGACTTCATGAGTCCAAGGATGCAAAGCAATCTCCGGATTCAACTGGGAGCAAACGTTTCGCTTCTTCTAGGGGCTGGTTGTATGTCTTTCCTGGCCAAATGGGCTTGAAATTTTCAGATCTACATGAGCACAAGCCTTTGTTTTTTCCCCAACTCCTCTTTCCTTTGTTTTTTATGGTGTATATTTTTTCTTAATTTGGAAGCAGCAAAAAACAACGACCTACCATTTCATATTCGGAGGCATTGTTTTTTTTAATTAGCTGAGTACACTGGCAAAGATACCCAGCAAAATGACGACATGCGTAGGTCTACATATGTTAGAATTTCCATTTCAGTGAAAGCAATTCATAAACAACAAGACCGCATCTCAATTCTCCACCCTCAACGCCAGAAGTGGAGTGTCGAATCAAGCTTTCGAGGTTAAAAAATCTTCAGAGCCCTGCATGACAGCATTTTGTTTCCCCTCTATATATAGTATTTAAAGAAGATGAAGAGAACCTTTCTTTAAAGGCATTTTATTTTAGCTGCAGCTGAAAGGCCAAAAATACTGCAGCACGGTGGCTGGTGCTGTGCTCTAGGGCCTAGGCTTGTAGCCACTCAAAAAGAGTGGTTGTGTTTCAAAACCCATTCGTAACTATTCCCCGCGGAGTTACAAAGGTCAATCATAAGAGAATATTCAACCCTTTTAGGGGATGTGGATTGGCAGTGTTAATTCGACGCCACCGAGAGTAAAGAATAAGAAGTTTGCTGTAATTCATCCCTTATGTTTCAGTCTTTTCGAGTCGGAAAAAACTCGTCGATTTCAGTTTTCAATTATAAATTATCGTTCGTAAAAATAAAATAATTTTATATGCGGACCATTCTATTACTTCTTTATTATTTGTACGGACTTATTTGTTAAAAATTTCTAACGCAACTTTGCATGGACTGTTTTATCACGAGTTTCACCACAAAATTTTAAATGATAACAATTGATACAGATAAAAATAATATATTACTTATTAAATGTTTTTTATTCAAAAATAAATATTTTCATCTTCTCCATTCAAGCACCTCATATTCTGTATTTTTTTTTTTATTATGGTTGTTGTATAACACACAACAAAATAAAATAATTATTAAAAATTTCTTTGAGCTATGGTTGTTTGCCACACACATTAAAGTAAAATAATCATTGAGTTCTAAAATCAATTAGCACAGAATAAACAAAAGATAATACATTTGTTACAAGTAAAAACCTTTAAAGGTTAAAAAACACTATAATAATAATTAGACAATGAAAAAATGAAATTTTAGGTCTTCTTTTTTTAAAAAAAAAATATTGCAAACTAAAAAGCCATTGTATTAAATAAAAAAATAAAAATTATCTATTTAAAAAAAGAACTCTTGGGTGATAAATTCTGGACCGCATTTTATGGCTGAAATAACATGTTGACTTGTCATGTTCTTAATCATCAAAGTTTTTTTTATATATAATTCTGTTCTTTTTAGTTAAGTTTTAAATGGGAAAATTCACAATTAGATCGATGTATTAATTCTTTCTTATAAGTTATTATTAGATTCAAATCGGAATGCGTTAACTCATTTACTATCTTCGTGAACACCTTCATCATAAAAAATAAAAATAGCGTAACTTGTACTTGTATTTTAAACTAAAATTCTAATATGTATATTTTATAGGTGTAGTTGTTTTTAAGTATATGGCTGAGAAACTCCAGTCACACCTGATTTGTTTAAAAGATAATAAATATGCAAAAAAAAAAAAACAAATTGAAAGTGATTGGACCTCAGAGACATTAAAGATTTAATCTAAAATGTAAAAATAAATCCAGCTAATCATCCCACTATTACCTCGACTTTTGATGGACGAGATTAAAGTTAATTAGTTAAGTCTTTGGTATCAGTTATTTTTTAAAATATATTTTTTTAAAATAATATTTTTATTTTAAAAAAATCATATTTTATATTAACAACTAAAAATAATTGAAATATAAAAACAAATAAACTCTAATAGAAAACAACTTAACCCATAAGCTTTCATTTTCTTGATTTTGATCCATCAAACTATCAAGCCGAAACAATTGATCACCTCAGTAAAAAATCAAATGGTTGCAATGACTGTTTTGGAACGCTGAAAACAAATATAATAAGGTTACAATGACTATATTTGTGATCAATTGCTTTGATTTGATAGTTCAAGTTATATGTAAAAAGAAAAAAACGAAAGATCATGAGTTAAGTTATCAAACCGTCTTGATTCCAAGAACACTTCGATGAAAACAGAAAACTGAGAGAACCTGATATGCCACTTAACTTCGACCCTAATTTCCAATTACATTTCTGCTGTTTGCTGTTTATTTGACAAACTGAACGTTCGTGGGTTTTCTTTTCGAATGCCGATTGTTGATGCAACTCCTGTTCATACAAAAGCTCTCTTGTATACACTGTCTAGGAAGACACCATTTTGCAAGAACTAATGAACTATAACTATTTCCTTGGTGGAATCGAACTTCCATCAAACCTTTTTTCTGGATCTGGGAAGTTGTCATGGTTGTGACAGGACTACAAAATCGACCCTGGCATATATTCTTTTCCATTATACAAGTTCTAATCATTTATTAACAAGAACTAATGCAATTTCTTGCTGTCCAACAAAGTAGGGAATCATGTTGAAGATTTTTTTTTTTTTTGTTAAATACTTGAATTATATGTATTGGCCCCAGAAGGATCGTGATTCATAATTTTAGGTCTTTGCCAGGAGTGTCCTGCTTATCCGATCATCTATTGGTGATAATAGCATTTGTCCAATAATAAGAGACAGCTCCATAAAGCAGCATTATACAACACAAAAAGGACTGTACAGCAAAATTCTCTATGTTTTATGCACTAGATAGAGTGCTAAGATAGATTTCCACCAATCAGAATAGCACAGTAACACGGAGATTTAATTTTTTTGGCTTAGAATAAGAATCCAAACTATCAGTTTGCAAAGTAACTCGACGGGACCTGGATGGAAAAAACGATGATCAGAGGCCGTATCTTGGTTTATAGTAACATGTGCTGGTACATAACCTGGAAATGATCTCAAATATCATAGATAATTACACAGCCTTTGCAGAAATTAGTGGTTTCGGAGGGGACAGTGATCTAATTTCAGGTGCAGAAGTAGGAAAAAGTATGTTTAGCCTGTGCATGAGTATGTCTGCCCTTGAGGGAATCTCGTTCAAAAGAAATTGCTGAACAATTGGTTTCTTGAACCACTCCATAACAGAGTCGCCAGGGGCCCTTAGAACCACCTTGCTAACTTCAAATGCGGATTCCACTGAGCTCAACATCTGCGCAACAACAATCCGTAGAGTTGGTCCTGTAACCAATTTTATCCGCCTTGGTATGACGCCATAGTACAGCATGCGCTTTCTGAACCTATGGAGAGTATGCACAACCGCTACAAGGGCAGCTCCCACAGACAGGTTCCTAACATCAAGGGACCAAGCGATATGCTGATCAAACACAATAGCTTTTGGAAAAAGCTTATTCTCATAAGCAACTTTCCAAACACATCGGGCTCGGTTTATCTGCCCCATGAGAACAAGGTAATTGAGCAGAACATTCACAGAATACTTCGCATCACCCTTCTCCAACTCATAATCCCTGAACTGAAAAAGCTCCCCCACAAAGGTAAAACTGGTTGTTTCCTCTTTTATGGGCCAGTGAAGAGCCCACACATTATGGCTGAAATAACATGTTGACTTGTCATGTTCTTAATCATCAAAGTTTTTTTTATATATAATTCTGTTCTTTTTAGTTAAGTTTTAAATGGGAAAATTCACAATTAGATCGATGTATTAATTCTTTCTTATAAGTTATTATTAGATTCAAATCGGAATGCGTTAACTCATTTACTATCTTCGTGAACACCTTCATCATAAAAAATAAAAATAGCGTAACTTGTACTTGTATTTTAAACTAAAATTCTAATATGTATATTTTATAGGTGTAGTTGTTTTTAAGTATATGGCTGAGAAACTCCAGTCACACCTGATTTGTTTAAAAGATAATAAATATGCAAAAAAAAAAAAACAAATTGAAAGTGATTGGACCTCAGAGACATTAAAGATTTAATCTAAAATGTAAAAATAAATCCAGCTAATCATCCCACTATTACCTCGACTTTTGATGGACGAGATTAAAGTTAATTAGTTAAGTCTTTGGTATCAGTTATTTTTTAAAATATATTTTTTTAAATAATATTTTTATTTTTAAAAAATCATATTTTATATTAACAACTAAAAATAATTGAAATATAAAAACAAATAAACTCTAATAGAAAACAACTTAACCCATAAGCTTTCATTTTCTTGATTTTGATCCATCAAACTATCAAGCCGAAACAATTGATCACCTCAGTAAAAAATCAAATGGTTGCAATGACTGTTTTGGAACGCTGAAAACAAATATAATAAGGTTACAATGACTATATTTGTGATCAATTGCTTTGATTTGATAGTTCAAGTTATATGTAAAAAGAAAAAAACGAAAGATCATGAGTTAAGTTATCAAACCGTCTTGATTCCAAGAACACTTCGATGAAAACAGAAAACTGAGAGAACCTGATATGCCACTTAACTTCGACCCTAATTTCCAATTACATTTCTGCTGTTTGCTGTTTATTTGACAAACTGAACGTTCGTGGGTTTTCTTTTCGAATGCCGATTGTTGATGCAACTCCTGTTCATACAAAAGCTCTCTTGTATACACTGTCTAGGAAGACACCATTTTGCAAGAACTAATGAACTATAACTATTTCCTTGGTGGAATCGAACTTCCATCAAACCTTTTTTCTGGATCTGGGAAGTTGTCATGGTTGTGACAGGACTACAAAATCGACCCTGGCATATATTCTTTTCCATTATACAAGTTCTAATCATTTATTAACAAGAACTAATGCAATTTCTTGCTGTCCAACAAAGTAGGGAATCATGTTGAAGATTTATTTTTTTTTTGTTAAATACTTGAATTATATGTATTGGCCCCAGAAGGATCGTGATTCATAATTTTAGGTCTTTGCCAGGAGTGTCCTGCTTATCCGATCATCTATTGGTGATAATAGCATTTGTCCAATAATAAGAGACAGCTCCATAAAGCAGCATTATACAACACAAAAAGGACTGTACAGCAAAATTCTCTATGTTTTATGCACTAGATAGAGTGCTAAGATAGATTTCCACCAATCAGAATAGCACAGTAACACGGAGATTTAATTTTTTTGGCTTAGAATAAGAATCCAAACTATCAGTTTGCAAAGTAACTCGACGGGACCTGGATGGAAAAAACGATGATCAGAGGCCGTATCTTGGTTTATAGTAACATGTGCTGGTACATAACCTGGAAATGATCTCAAATATCATAGATAATTACACAGCCTTTGCAGAAATTAGTGGTTTCGGAGGGGACAGTGATCTAATTTCAGGTGCAGAAGTAGGAAAAAGTATGTTTAGCCTGTGCATGAGTATGTCTGCCCTTGAGGG